CTCTCCAGACACACTCCTTCCTCGACTTGTTTCCAGAATGCCCATCACATAAGGGGATCTGCTCCGAGAGGCCCACCTCCCCGTGTGTGCAGACAGGCCCGGTGGCCACCAGCACCCACAGGATGATAACAGGAGGAGGTCCTTTTGGTGGTGAGGGTGAGGAACACTGAGTGTGAGCTGGGAGTTCAAGTGATGTAGTTTGAGCCGGGGGACTGTCCCTCATGAGAAGTGTGGTTGTCCTTGGTTCGGGGCTGTGGAGACATCAAACTGGGAGGCAAGCCTGGGTTGAGTCCAGTTTCCGCCACTTGGTAACTGTGTAACAACAAATGTTCAGTCTACCTCACAAAAGGGAAAGAGCGGACAGTGCTGATCACATCAAGGCATCGTTAGGGGCCTTCGAGTCAATCGATTCTGACTCCTAGCAGTCCTGTGTGCAACAGAGTGAAAACCCCATGGGGCAGTTCCACTCCATAATAGGCCGTATGCCTGGCCTCACGATTGTGACTGTTTTCAAGCCCATTGTTGCAGCCTCTACCAATCCATCTCTTTAAGGCTCTTCAGCTTCTTTGCCGGCCCTCTATTTGACCAAGCGCAATGCCCTTCTCCAGCGACCGGTCCCTTCTCTCATCTGATGTCCAGAGTACATAGGATGAAGTCTTGCCCTTCACACTTCTAAGAAGCACTCTAGCGGTACTTCCAAGACAGATGTGTTCATTCTCAGCATTCAGTATTCTTTGCCAAGACCACAATTCACAGGCATCAGTTACTCCCTATCCAACTTTCACATGCATATGAGGCAATGGAAAATACCAGGGCTTGGGTCAGGTGCATGTTAGTCTTCAAAGTGACACCCACCACTCCTGTGTCAGTTCACCCTAGAGGTAGCTGGTGTGTGCCTGGGAGGCTGGAAGCCACCCACATTTCAGAAGCCAGTGGAGTCACCCACAGTGGACAGGTTTGCAAACCAGCAAGGCGGACCTGACCATCTCCCCTTCACACGCGTTGGAAGCCTTATGAATAGCGGCAGGCGTTTGTTACCACTTCATAAACCTTAGTGCTTTTCCTCTACGAGGGGATTTGTAGTAACAGGACAAGCAAGTCCAGCGAAGCCAAGCATCATGTCACTAGTCAATCTTGGGGGCTTCCAGGTCATCCTTAGGTCATACTCCAGCACGGCCTTACTGCAGCAGGGTTGGGAATCTCCATGCCTGGAAATGGTGAACCGCGGGCCAGCTAAGAACTAGGAGCTTGGAAGGAAAGGAAGAAATATTACAGTAGGAAGGGAGGCTGTGACATGGGGTCACGGCAGGGGCCTTAAAACCAGGGGAAGGAAATGCCCTAGCTGCTGGGTCAGATGTCTTGTGGGGGGCTCAAGCTTCTGTCTCTGAGAGCAAGTTGGATGGCCTAACGACCCCACCCCCACCCCCCATCAGGCTCCAGACTCCACAGAGTTAACACCCAGCCTGGGTCTTTAATGTGAAGATTTGGGGGTTCAATCCAGCCTGGCCCCTATCATTTTAGATGGCTAAAAATGGCCGTATGTCCAGGGCTCCCTGGTGGCATCCTGCATATTTGTTGAACTGCTAACCACAAGGTCAGTAGTTCAAAAACTTCCAGCCACTCTGGGGGAGAAAGACAGACTTTCTACTCCTGCAAAGAATTAAAGTCTCAGAAACACAGGGGCTGTTCTACTCTGCTCTATAGGGGTCACTGAGGCAAAACTGACTCCAGGGCAGTGCGTTTGGTTTTGTGTTTGTGACCCAGCCAGCCAGCCCACCCAGATCTGGAGACTGGCTGTTTAGACCTAACAGGATAGATCAGAGTTTATTCTTCCTGAAGCCAGGATCCTGGCCAGTCTTAGCCGCAGAGCTCCCCCATCCCTGGAAGCCCTGAAGGCTAGTCTGCTTGCTTTTGGAAAGTGAAGCGCTGCTGCAGTGACAATGAGGAGGTCCACCAGGCACAGGAAGCCCCTTTCCCTCTAGACCCCCTCTGTTTCAGGATTGATACACCCACCCCTCACCTATCACACTCGGTGCCTGATGTTAGGCACACCTTTTAAGAGAATGGAGGAGGTAAAAGAAGCTTCCTTGCCAGAGCCTTGATTGGGTGCCTAGATACAGGCCAGAGCCTCCAGTTCGGGGTCCAAGGGGTGGGGGCGCTGAAGGGGCTTGCATGCCAAGTCTATAGCCTCTGAAAACTGCTGTCCCGCAGCCCGGGCCACAGATGACAGGAGGAAGGCTGGGGATGAGTCAGTCCCCGGGCATGTCGGGAAGCAGAGAGAAATGGGGCTTATCTGACCTGGAAGGAGCGAGGCTGGGCAGGAGGGATAGGGGCAAGCTTCCCAGCTCCACTGTCTCGGTTGTCCCCCTCCACGCCGTGTGTCATCCCACACAGTGTTTAAACAGAGCAGCCCACAAGAAAGGCAGACATCCTGAAACCGTGCGGGGGAGAGGCCCTGGGCTGGGAACAGAAAGAAGTCTGTTTATTCCCAGCAGCCCACACTCCACGGGACCCCACGCCCACTTCTGTCCAGACCCCGAACTGAACTCTCCCAGAGCCTCTGACTTCGGCCTGACCAGATTGCGTGGGTCTAAGGGTCCCTGGAGTGGCCAGGGCCCGCCCCACCCACCCGCTCCCTGGAGGATGGGTTTACTCCGACTGCGTCCCTCTTTCCAGTCTCCCGGGGCCTCCTGACGACTGTAGGGACAGCAGAGCTAGTCTCATGCCTCAGTCCCTTCAGGCCCAGCTCTCCCCAGCCAGCCCAGAAGTCCCCTTCCTCCTCCTCTGGCGTGTGCTCCTCAGTGAAGACATCCAGGGGCTCGCCTCCAGCTTCCACGCATGTCAGCAGCCTGTCTCCTCCCATGTCAGCTCTTCGTTGCTGGCTTCTCTCCTCCCCTCTCCCCAGGCCAGCAAGCCTGATAGATACAAAGTGGAGATGGGGGTGCCATAGCTTTTGGCTTCCTATCACCTGTGTGCCCTGCCCTCCAGTTCCCTGTGGATTGGAAGCATCCCTCCCCCATGCTGTTCCCTGGCTCCCTGCCTTTCTCCTCAGAGTTCTCTCAGAGGGCACACATGCCCAGAGGGAAGGGGCCTGCTGGAAAAGGCCGTCCATCTCGCAATGTGAATGATCATCACTGCCTTTTGTTGAGTGCTTCTCGTGGTGTTGGGCTGCTAACCCCAAGGTCAGCAGTTTGAAACCACCAGCCGCTCGGAGGGGAAGATGAAGCTTTTTCTTTCAACTCCCATGAAGAGTTACAGTCTGGGAAACCCCCAGAGGCAAGGGTCATTATGAGTCCGCATTGACTCGATGGCAGTGAATTTGGTTTGGGGTTCATCCAATACCAAGGGCAATCCTAATCCTTACAGCACCTTAACTCATTCAATCTCACCACAAAACCCTAACTGGGGGGTGGGGTGGGGGCGCAAAATAAGAAAAAATTTTAAAAACCTAAACTGAAATACCAAGCAGAACAAACATTGTTGCTGTCAAGTGAATCCCAGCTCCTAGCGACCAGGTAGAACTCTGTTCACTTGGGGCTTTCAATGGCGGGGACGCTTTCGGAAGCAGAGGCCAGGCCTTTCTGCTGCAGTGCCTCTGGGTAGACTTGAACCTCCAACCTGCTGATGGCCAACAGGATGTTTTCACTGCTTGGGCCACGGATGAGCCCATTTTGCAGATGAGGAAACAAAGGCAAGAAAACTCTGTCATTTGCCCACAGCTCACAAACGGGAACCCAGCCAGGCTTCTAAGCGGGATTCAAATCCCACCTGTCCGGTCCCAAAGCGTCATCCTCATGCAGGAGAAGGAAAGAGGAGGCATTGGTGAGACACACATCCCTGCACTCTTGAGGTGTCAGGCACTGGCGCCGAGGCGGCCACCTACGTCATCCATGATCGCCCCACCACCCTGAGAAGTGATCTTTTTTCTTTTTTTTTTTTGAGAAGTGATCTTTCTGGTTCCTATTTTCCAGGAGGGAAAAAGCGAGGTCCACTCCCAAGAGCCATTGGTACCTCCCACCCCAGCACTGGAGTCGAGGATAGTGGCCAGAGGACCCCCCACCCCAGAAGCAGGAAGGCAGGCTGGGCGCATAAAGGTTGTCCCCAACTTACAACGGGCTTCCTTCCGTTTCAATGAGTTCTGACCTGAGTCAAATGCAAGTGCGTTTTCCCACTTGTTAGGATTGCCTTTCACTCTCAGTATCTTTAGAAATCACAACACTGACCAGCTGCGAGGGGACGTCTGGACATGGCAGCCTCGGCCTATGGTGTGCTGAGACACCGAAGGCAGTCGGACACTGCTAGCAACGAGACGCGCCCAGAGGGCCCGGAAGGTGGTCAGGGCACGTCACATAGCTGGAACATGAACAAGGGCTGTCGGGTGATAGGGAGGGCTTCTAGTTAGGGGCCCTGGGCGGGAGACTGAGACCTCATGTGCCAAAGAGGAACTGACCCCCTAGGGTGTCTGGGCTGTAATCTACATCGAGGTTTCTCTGCTGTCCTCCATGGAAACAGATCACCTGGTTGGTCTCCTGTTGGGTGGGTGATCAGTGATCAGCCACCGGGAATCCTGGATGGGAGAGGGGCACTCCCACCTTCACACCCATCCTACCCTGTAACCTTGGCAGAATGTTGGAACTGGAGTTGCTAGCAGACAGCTGGCTGACCACTCCTAGGGGTTAAGGCTCATAAAATGTAAATATATTCACTGGAAGTGGGGAGGATCCAACCCAATCATTATTATTCATAAACTCCAGGGCATTTCTCAGATCAGCGGGATGGTAGCAGGCAAGAGGGTTCCAAACTGGGGTGCCGTGATATAGGGGAGCCACCACCTAGGTCACAGGGGATGGCCGGTGGCCGGCGTGGGGGCAGGCCTTTCGCTGCTGCAGCCCAGAGTGTACCAGGTCCCACCCCCAGAGGCAGGGCCTGTCCGAGCCCCACTGGCCTCAGCTCCAGCATCCCTCTGGGAGCCAGGCAAGGCCGAGCCCAGGACTCTGGCCCGAAACCCCGCAGGGCTGGCGGCAGCCACTCCGGCTCCTCAGAGGGAAGCTCGGGCTAAGCAAGCAGCACCTGGGCACCCTTCCCCCGCCCCCCCAGTCATGTGAGTATCCCCCTCCCTCTCGGGCACGCCTCCGCACCTCAGCCCCAGAACCTGAACAGTTCTCCCACCCAGCCCAAGCTCCTGGAAAGTCACACCTGGGGCTGATCTTGGCCTTTCCTGCTGCTCCGGAGGCAGTGGGGGTGAGGGGCCCACCCCACGGGAGGGTTTAGCGTTAGAGCCCTGAAGTCTCCTAGGGTTTAGCAGACTTGATGGTGCAGGCAGGGAGGGGCAGGAGTTACAGGACCCAGCTGAGACAGATGCCCCTGAAGGTGGGTCCTAGGAACTTTGCCCCCCTAGGGTGTCTGGGCAGTAATCTACACTAGGTGCCGGAGGCTGGGGTTGGGCACTCTGTGGGGCTGAGGACGGAAAGGGGCCCCTCCCTCAGCTCAGGGGGACCATGGGCCCTCTGGACCCTGCCCTAGGGGCTGGGGGGAGGGGGGCGGAAGAGTTACTAGGATCCTTTCCTTGTTGACATTAATCCTAGCAACAGCAGCTGTTGCCCTGTTGACAGAAGCTGGGGCACCCAAAGGACACAGGACCCTGCCCCTAGCCCCCATGGCACCCTGGGAGTGGGGGAGGCTGAGAACAGGGTGAGAGACACAGAGGGAAACAGGAGTGGATCAGAGATGCGGAGAGGCCAGGCCCACCCCACCTCCTCCTTCTCCTCCTCCACCTCTTCCTCCCTCGCCTCTGACTCAGAGACAGCCCCCCCTGCTGGAGGTGGGGGTGGGGAGAGGGTGTCCTCTCCCAGCTGCTGGCATCTCCTTGTCCCTGCCACCCCACCCCCACCTCCAGCTCCTCACCTTCCTCCAGCTCCCAGGAAGGGCAGAGGAGTCAAGTTTATGGGCTGGAAGTCCTACCTGAAGACTGCCCACTGAGCTGGGACCGACCGACCCACAACTAGGGACACCCACACCTCCCTCCTCAGTGATGTGAACAGCTGAGTCCCTAACTTCCGTGCCCCTAACCATAGGGGTCTCTGCAGACTGGATGTCTGCGTTCTTTGGCATCTCAGCCCCTCCCCGCCCCAAGACTTGAATGTTGGCCCACCAGCTCCTAGTCTCCCTTTTGGCTACTTTCAAGGCCTGGGCTGGCCAAGGCAGGGAAAGGATAAAATGCCTTAGAGTTTGGGCATGAGGGGGAGGAGGGGTACACGTTTCCTTTAAAGTCGCTATTTCAAGAGAACTAAAAATAGGGTATTTTATATAAAATTTTAACTGGCGATTAATTGAGCCATCCATATGCCAGCACTCAGGAGCTGAGCCACTGCCCATAGGTCTACACAACCGGGTGACTGGGCAGTCCCCACTGGGAGGACAGTGACCGTGCATGCCCCCTACACCCCGCTTCACTCCCACCCCCAACTCTGGCTCTATCTAGGCATGCCGGTCGCTGCTCCAGGCCTCCCCTCTCCCGAAGTCCAAGATGACACCCAACAGCACCGGGGAGGTGCCCAGCCCCATTCCCGTGGGGACTCTGGGTCTCTCCCTGGCCCTGGCCAGCCTCATTGTTACTGCCAACCTGCTCCTGGCCCTGGGCATCGCCTGGGACCGCCGCCTGCGCAGTCCCCCTGCCGGTTGCTTCTTCCTGAGCCTGCTGCTGGCCGGGCTACTCACGGGGCTGGCACTGCCCATCCTGCCAGGGCTGTGGAGCCAGAGCCGCCGGGGGTACTGGTCCTGTGTGCTCCTCCATCTGGCCCCCAACTTCTCCTTCCTCTCCCTGCTCGCCAACCTCCTGCTGGTGCACGGGGAGCGCTACATGGCAGTGCTGTGGCCCCTCCGGCCCCGCGGGTGCCCCCGTCTGGCCCTGCTCCCCACCTGGGCTGGCCCACTGCTCTTCGCCAGCCTGCCTGCCATGGGGTGGAACCACTGGGCCCCGGGGGCCAACTGCAGCTCCCAGGCCATCTTCCCAGCCCCTTACCTCTACCTTGAGGTCTACGGGATCCTGCTGCCCGCCGTGGGCGCTGCCGCCCTGCTCTCGGCCCGAGTGTTGGCCACTGCCCACCGACAGCTGAGGGACATCCGCCGGCTGGAGCGAGCCGTGTGCCGCTGTGCGCCCTCCGCCCTGGCCCGGGCCCTCACCTGGAGGCAGGCCAGGGCGCAGGTGGGTGCCACGCTGCTCTTTGGGCTGTGCTGGGGCCCCTACGTGGCCACCCTGCTGCTCTCCGTCTTGGCCTATGAGCAGCGCCCGCCGCTGGGACCCGGAACTCTGTTGTCCCTCATCTCACTGGGCAGCGCCAGCGCGGCCGCTGTGCCTGTGGCCATGGGACTGGGCGATCAGCGCTACACGGCCCCCTGGAGGGCAGCTGCCCGCAGGTGGCTGCAGGGACTGCGGGGAAGAGCCTCGAGGGACTGTTCCCACCCCAGCACTGCCTACCACACCAGCAGCCAGAGCAGCATCGACCTGGACTTGAACTAGGGGAAGGACAAGAGCTTCGTTGACCGCTTCCGGAAGCGTCGGCCCATCCCAAGCCCGCCTCTCTCATGCTCCCACTCACTCCCAGATCAGAGATGCTGCCCCGTGTTTGGCCCCACCCTGGCTGAATAAAGCTCTCTGCCGGTAGACAGTTCTCCTGCATTCAGAAGGGGAGGCCGTGAACAGCTCTGGAAAGTACAAGCTGTGTCCTGGGGGAGTGCTGCACCAGACGGGCTGCGAGTTGCGGAAGGGAACACATAGCAGAGAAAGAGGCGCCTTAAAACCCAACAGATCATTGGGGTCTCTCATCTGATGTGCCCGTCCCCCACCACAAAATCCACACAGACGTTTCTCTGGGAAGTATATTTTATTTACATTTTTTAAAATCTGTAACTAGTATCTCTTCCTTCTTTCCCCTACCCAGCGACTTGGAGGGGAAATGAAGGGAACCCCAAAGGCCTACTCCCCACATACAAGCACGCACCCCCATGGCTCACACCAGCGAACAAAGGTCAAGGGGCAGGGCCCCCTGGGAAGGAAGTGGCAGGGCTGGGCGGCTGGGCAGGGGCGAGGGGAGGGAGGCCTGAGGGG